CACATCTGGGGCTCCCACTGTATTTCATTGAGCCAGAGAGAGAGAGAGAGAGAGAGAGAGAGAGAGAGAGAGAGAGAGAGAGAGAGAAAATATAAAATCCGACATTCAGAGTGTTTACATAATCCAGTGTTATGTGCCTTTGTAAACATTTCAAGTCTGGTGTTTTTGAAGTGAACCATAAAAGATGATAATTTTACAAGAAGCTCAAACATAGAAATACTCATTTTTATTTTTTTATTTTTTTCCAAGAGACTGATGAGAGGAAAACAGGGTTCAGATTGTGAGCTGAGCTTGAAAGTCTGGAAATGAGTCAACATTGACACAAGTAAACAAAAAGCTTAGCTGTTCTGCCCTCTGTTTGTCTGCATTTCAAGCTCCAGTGTGTAAAAAGGAAAATAAAGATTCTTCTCTTTTTAATTTTTTTAATTTCAATTATTTTTTTATTTTTTTGGTTTTAGACTTAACAGTTTCTATACAAAAATACACCAGTTTGCCATCTTTCTGCCGCTCTTTTATGTCACATCAGAAAGATGACAAACCAATAGACAGGGTTTTACCCTGTAAAAGTGCCAGATTCAGCCATAATGACTAATTTACATCTTTAGTACCAGGCAGGTTGATGGTAAAACAGACAGTAATGTAATTTTAAAAAAATGACAAAAGAGCCATAAGTCAACAATTCTTCCTGGATCTTAAAAGTGATATGAAACATAATAAAATGAGTTAAAAATGCATGTTCACTTAATGTTACTCAGCATGATGTTTCAGATGAGCCTTAAAGGTGTAACACAGTGAAGAGTAAAGATGATGGTGACTTATTTTAATGTTTTCTTTGACAACACAACTTGTGTTACTGTTGTAGCAGTTTTCCAGATCAGATGAGATGTAAAAATGTAAATGTAAGTGTCACTGAAATAGTTCAAACGTAAAGGAAATTAATATTTGGCTCCAAAAGTTAAAATATTTCTTGTTTGCAAATTGTTGTGGTTCACATTAAGAAATGATGTTTTACCTTGTTCATTAAAAGTTTTTATTTTGACTCAAAAGGCAATTTTTTTTGATGTACCGCTAGTACCGTGAGGTTTAGGTGCCATTATAAAAGACTGTGAGACCTGCGTTTGCCAAAAGAATGTGCATAAGCCTTTGCCTGAGTCATCTGCAGCAGCTTGGATAACCTGCTTATTTTCTTACATTTGTGTTGTAACATTCTGTATGTTTTGGTGTTCTAATTATTTCGTGTGTTGATTTAGAACATTAAATTTATTTGCCTAGAACCTCTGAAGTGGCAGGCAGCCACGAGGTGACTTTTGCTGAAGCTTGTGTGCTAATATAGCTTTATGAAGTGTCCAAAGCCTCTGTGTAGTTTTCGCGGCATTTAATAAACCAAAGCAAGCCCATCTTCAAGAAGCCGTGCCTGTGTTGTCATTCTGAAATTACATTATACATATATAGTGCAACATTTTGTTATGATTCTGGTGTTTTGGTTATTTTCTGGTAGTATTTTTCAGATTGTTTTGGTATTGTCTTATTTTCTCATTTCCTGTTTTCAGTTTCCTGTGCCATGTTCACCTCAGTCAGCTTCTTAGTATATTTCCAGCCTGCCACACTCATCTGTCTTTAATTGTAATCACCCAGCTGTTTCCTACTTCCACTCAGCCCTGTTTGTATTTAAGGATCTTCTCTTCACCACTTCAGCATCTGACCACTACTTACCCATGTTTGTTCTCACCTCATGCTCCAAGTTTTGATTTTCTCGTTTTGTTAGCTTGCCACCACGTTGGCTTTTTTCTTTATTAAAGTCTTTTTAATTACTTTAAGTTTGGTCTGTCTGCCTGCCTGCATTTTGGGTTCTCCTCACCACCAAGTCGTGACACATTTGTGCCATTTATTCTCACTTTATACCACCTACTTTTAAATTGAAAAGTTAAAAAAAAATTTATTGAAACCATAAGCTTTAATATAAAACAAATGAACATAGCCTGAGTTCATCTGAGTCTAAAACATTAAGCCAGTACAGAAATGACTCAACAATTGGCTTTAAACTGTATTTTTAGTTGAAAAAGGAGTGTTTGTTTAGGAGCTCAGTGAGGAATGACGAGGTACATCTTTTTATTGTTTGTGTTTTCCCCGTACATTTTTTCAAGTCAAATTTAGAAAACTATATGGCAAAGTTGCACATCACAGCCAATTACCCTCTTAAGAAAAGCTCTGATGGCTTCTAAAAATCTCAAAGACACACATTAAATTAGAAGCAGGTTTCAAAACAGAATATTCACTTACAACCCAGTAAGTAAATATTCTTAAAATATAATAATTTGTGGACCACAGTGGCCTTTTATCGAATCTTTATATGTAGTTTGTAATTAATATCTATAAATATCTTATGGTTTCTGCAGCAAATCATATTGTTTTGTCAGTCCTCAAAACTGTGTTTATTTTTATCACCATAATTGCTGTCATTTAGTTTAACTGCAAATTAGTGGTAAAGTAATTAATAGTTGATCTCTCTGTGGTAAGATAATTAATAGTTAGCATCCCTGTGGTAAGGTAATGGGTAGTTAGCATCCCTGCTAGATGCTATTCAGGACAACTTGTTCTGTT